ATGTAATAGGAAACTGGACAGCCTCAGAGAAAAAGATCTTTGCATTCTGGCATTCAGGGATTCTACAGCATAACAGTCAATTGTCCTCCAGTCACCCTAAAGGCAGATTGTCAGTTACCTAGCCCTGTCCCCCATACACAGAGCTTCCAATCAGATTTTTATTGCTACATTCTTAAATATGAGTAAACAACTTTGAGTCACCAGGAATTTGAGAAAAGGCTAAAAATTGAAAAATGAGGCTAAGATAAGCAATCAGAGGGAAGTGAATGCCAAAGGAAATAGATATACCAAAGAATAGAAGGAAATATAAAAATACTCCTATTGTTCTTAAAGAGATTCTAGATGATAGTGCATCCATTAAACAAGAACAGGACGTTAAGAAAGAAAAAAAGAGAATGTGGGGCCTCCCCGGTGGCGCAGTGGTTGAGCGCTGGGTTGCAAAGCTGCCCGCAGCCTCTGCAGCGCCGGCCTCTGCAGCGCCGGCTGCTCCCCGGCCACAGGAGGAGGGTCCCACATGGCGAGCAGACCTCTCCTGCCGCCCGCTGCTCCCCTTAGCAGTGTACTTCGGTCCTTCTGCCTGTTCTGCTCTCCTCTCTGGCTCTGGTGAATTCTCTCACCCTCCCGTGCTTCTGACTGTACCCAGTGCTTGTATAAGTAAATAAATAAATCTTTAAAAAAAAAAAAAAAAGAGAATGTGAATGGGTATCTGGAGATCTAAAAATGCAATTGTCAAAATGAACAGAAATGCTATAGAAGAGTTGGAAGGTAAAGTTAAATCTTCTCTCAGGAAGTAAACAGAATCAAAAGAGAGGGACAGAGCTAGAATGGGAGGGGAGAAGATTAAAAACTACAAAAGATCAATTCAGAAGGTCTAACATCCAAATTTAAGGGGTTCCAGGAGAGAAAGAAAATGGAAGAGAGGAACATTATCAAAGAAATAATAAAAGAAAATTTCCCAGGTTAAAGGATTTTGTAAGTAAGGGATCTAACCAATGACCAGAAAAATGAATGAAAGAAACCCCCAAGGTGGCAAAGGTGGCAAAAGGGGTTAAGATGCAGCACTATGAAGCTATACGCAGCCACCGCAGCACAAGTTTGATCCCCGGCCAGGTAGCTATCTACACAGTGCAGCAGACCTCTGCTGTCTCATCCACTGCTCTCCTCAGCAGTGTATTTCATTCAATCTGCCTGTGCTGCTCCCCACTCTGTCTCTGGTGAATCCTCTCACCCCCTGTACCTCTGGCCTGTACCCCAGCTCTTATATGCATAAATGAATAAATCTTTAAAAAAAACACCCTTTAAAAAATTAATAAAATTAAATTAAAAAAACCCAAAACCTAAACATATTATGAAATTTCTGAACAGCAAATTTTAAAAATTATTTAAAGAAGGAAGAAGGAGAAGTACTTTTCCCTAGTCTTCCCACCAAGTACAGTTAAAATCCTGGGACATTATAAACTAGGTATTTAAATACATATGTATTTATTTATAAAGAAGAATGAGAGGTAGAAGGGAGAAGGCAAATTTGCTGGGGAACTCAGCAGCACAGTAGTGACATGGTTGGTGGTAAGTGCCCTGAGTTTCCTTTTTGCTTTACACCCAACTTGGTGCTGGAGAAGGTAACAATTATAATAACCACTAGACTCCAGTCAAACACCACAGAAGAAACCATGCCTCCCTCCCTTCCCATCCCAGCAAAGGCCATGTGAACTCAGACTTCCAGCCTCACTGGCTGTAAAGTCACTGCTTTCCCTTCCCACTGGGCTGGTGTCAGAGAAGGTAGAGTGTGGAGCCAGAACTCTCACCTCCCCACCCAGGATTAAGAGGAAATCTCCCACCGGGGTGTCAACAGTAACTAAGTGTGAGTCCTGGACTTTGTGCCCACCTGGCAATAACAAAGCAGTGGCCCCCTTCCACTGCAAGATGGATGTCTAAGGAGGCAAGCTAAAATAGAATATTTAAATGAGACCCAGAGCCTCATAATTAATACCCAAATGTCCAGGTTTCAATAGAAAATCACTCACCATAGAAGAGACAAAAATATCTCAACTTGAATGAAAAAAGACACTCAGGCTCCAACACCTAGATGACAAAGATTTTTAAGGAGCAATCTTAAAAATGCTTCAAGGTACAATTAGGAACATGCTTAAAACACATGAAAAAATAGAAACAATCACCAAAGAAATAAAAGATATGGAGAAGAACCAAATGGAAATTTTAGGACTAAAAATTACAATAACCCATAAAAAACTTCAATGGATGGGCTAACAGCAAACCAGACAGGGCAGAGGTAGGAATGGATGAACTTGAAAAGAGAATAGGAACTACCCAATCATGAAAACAGAGAAAATCAAGGGGCGGGGTGTGTAGAGAGAATCAAAAGAAACATAAGGACCCCTGAGACTATAACAAAGATATAACAATGAGGTTCCGGAAGGAAAGAAAAAAAAAAGATGGGGAAAGTTATCTAAAAGCAATGAGACTAAGATCGACATCACACATCTTATCAAAACTGGATAGTAGAAGAAAGAGGAACAACGTTTTCGAAGTTCTGTGGGAAAATGCTAAACCTCAAACTTTGTAGCCAAGCATAAGGATATAAATAAAGATATTTTCAGACATACAAAGACTCAGGCATACAAAGACAAAACCTATCTGAGAAAGTTACTAAGGATGTGAATCATCAAAATAATGGAAAACAAACAAAACCAAACCCGTAGGAGCCAGCAAATAGCAGATATAACCAAGGAAAGTAGTGAAGCAAAGTCCCAAAATGACAGTCATGCATCACAACTAGAGAGCAACTAGTCCAGATATAAGAAAGAAGATGGAGGACTCCAGAAAGCTCTCTTGGGGTGAAAAGGGGGAAGTGGACTTGATGGACTACTTAGTGTAAGAGAGAGCTGGAAAAGAAAAAAATGGAATATATGATAAAATAGTGAAAGGGAAAAATAATAAGAAAATTCAAGAAAAATGAACTGCTACATGAAAAATTTATATATATGTAAGTTCATTAATTGGCTCTGCACTGAACAGTTATATTGTTTCCTGCTTTACAACTTTTAGAATTAAAATTTCAAACTACAGACAAAACACACACACATGCTTAATCATGATTACAGAATCCAACTCTGACAACATAAAAGATCAGATGACAGAAGTTGGAAGGTTGACAGGGAAAAGGACGAAAGGAAAAGATATTCTCATCTAACAAAGTTCTGTTTGAGAAATACTGTCTCAATCATGAAACCAGAAATAAAGGTGTTACTTTTGGGCACAAGAAGTTAAGACACAACCTATGAAGCTTCCACAGCCATTGCAGCATGAGTTCAATCCCCGGCCAGGGAGATACCCACATGGCGTAGCAGACCTCTCCTGACTGGCCCACTGCTCCCCTCAGCAGTGTATTTCAGTCAACCTGCCTGTTCTGTTCCCCGCTCTGTCTCTGGTGGATCCTCTCACTCCCCGCATCTCTGGCCTGTACCCCAGCTCTTGTATGCATTAATAAATAAATCTTAAAAAAAAAGTAGGAAAAACAAGAGTTGAAATCAGTATAACCTAGATCTTCATCTGTCATAACAGGTCGCTAACAATTAATGTCTGAAATGGATAAAAGATCAATACTCACATAAGCATATTATTTATTTATGGAGATAACTATCAGAAGAAATAACTAAAAGTGGTTATTCAAAGTGAAAGTGAGGGTAGGGATGTGTGGAGCAGCAGATTTGCTTTTCATGTCCTTTTGTACTTATTTGAGCATACTGAAGTTTTATAAAAAGTATGCATCTATTTTAAAATTAACATCTTTTTCAAGGCACACACAAGATACTCCTGTCCACCCCATAACCCCCCCACCACATTCCCTTATCCCTGCAAACCTGCAGAACAGAACACACTTTGGGAACCCTTACAGTATGTCTCCCTTCCTCTCTCCCCCTTACACGCAGCTCTGCTCCAGTCAAAACGGAGCATTACCCCAAACTTGCCAATTTACACCCATCTCCTTGTTTCCCTCTCTGAGGTTTGGAAAGCCCTTTCTCCTCATCTCCACAAACTGGAATCCTCCCTATTCTTCAAGGTTCAGCTCAAATTTCACCTCCTCCCAAAGTCTTCTTTAGTTTCTTTGTAGAACTTCTCTCCCTCCTCAGCGATTCCTGAGTCTTATATTTACTTTCTTCAAGTACACTATCTCAGTGTTTCATGGCCCTAATCATCTTACACACCAGCTACCAAGTGATCTTCCTAAAATATCAATCTTACTGTCTCCCTTGCTTCAAACCTTCCTATAGCACATTGGGTCAAAACTAAGTTTGATAGGCTGCTTCTGTATAAGGGATGGTTACTGTATAAAGGATGTGACTTCTTCCACCGCTAAGGGACAATGCCTGGTCTCCCCAAAACCTACTGTTTAGACAGCTTCTCTGCTTGGAATGTTCTTTCCCCCTTTCCATATGGTAAATCCAACTCTTCCTTCAAAGTGCCCCCTTCCCTACAAAGGCTTTCCTGAGTATTCTCTCCCTGTTCCACCCCAGGAAGAACATCCAATGTTTCCTATATTCTCACTCTGCCTCAACTATGCTTGTTATGTCACATTTTGTGCCCTTAACTGCTTATCTGAGTCCCCGATTAAAGGGTGCACTCCTGGAGTTCAGGAAAGGTATCTTATCCCCCAAACCTAGCACCGGGCCTGACACACAATAGGAACTCAGAGTATGCTTGCTTAACAAATAAATGGAAAAGTAATGAGTGTGTGAATACAGGAAAGAAAGGAACAAATGCACGAATGAGGAGTAAGCATAAGTAAGTGAATAAATAATGAATAGATGAGAAAACTAAGTCAGTACACAAATGAATAAAAAGTATCTGTACTAGTGAGGGGATATGAGAGAAAAGAGGTGAGTGAATTCCCCACCTCTGCACCTTAGTTCCAACCCACCTGAAAATCTCTGCTTTCCCCCCATCTAAAGTGCACAGCACCATGTTAACCTCTTTCAGATTACAAGGAACAGACACACTCAGGTTAGTGATGGAGATTTATTGAAGCATTCACAGGGAAATAAGGAAGACAAAAACAGCTACACAGGCAGCCTCATGGAAGAACAGAAACTTGAAAATGGTTCACGATCCAAAGCAGCTCTAGAGCCTGGCTTATCTTATCACCCCCTCAGCTGCAGGCATCTGTTGCTCCCTTCTCTAGTGCATCCCCAAAACGGTGACTCAACTTCTTTCTGGCTGTATTTATACTCCTATTGCTATTGACGCCCTTCTTTCTACTCGCCTCCTCACTAGTCCATGGCCTTCAAGGCCTCCTGGCTCCTGCAGCTTCCTGGCTTTTGGGGGTTCAGTTCCTGTTATCCAGGGCTTTTCTGTATTGTCACTTTTTTGTGTCTGTCATTCCTGCTGCTTTGATTCCTGTTGCCTTGCTGCCACGTAGTTCCAGCTACCTTGTGGCTCTTTCGGTCTCATCGCTTACTTCTGCTGCCTCATGGATCGTGTCTGTTCAAGCCTTCTGCTGCTTCATGGATCTCAGATTCAGGGTTGTCTCCTGGTTTCTGCTCCTTGTGGCTTTTGCTACATCGTGGCTCCCATTGCTTCATGGCTTCTGTCTCCTTTTGGCCCATTGTTATCTTGCCGTTTCATGGCTTCTGCTGCCTTGTGGTCCCATGATCTCATGATACAAACGTCTCATGGTTTCTGCAGCTTTCTCCCTGTTTTTGCTGCTTAGTTCCTAGCACCCCTCATTTACCACCACTTCTACCTCATCAAATTCTAATTAACTGTTCATTTCTTCTGAACACCTCAGTCTCCCTGAAAAAGGATCCGATTGTTTCGTACATTTGCCATTCAAGATAGATGAACCCTACAAGGCGGAGTTTTACATCAGTCCACCTAATTGGCCACTGGCCAGCTTAAAGAGCTGTCCTCAAGTCAGATGCTATCCCAAACCAACCATCGGTGGTCAGACTTGAGGTCACATGGTACAGAGCATGGCAACTCATGCTTAAGAAACCCCTAAGGACTGTGGGCATGGAAGGTTTGCTGAGGGCTTCCAGAAGGGGGCAGTGTAATTGGCAAGCTTCTTGCGTGGCCTGTCCAGTACATAGACCTTCAAGGCTCAACCTAAGTCTTCCTGGCCACCTCTATCTGCCCTGATCTGAGATGGGAGAGATCAAGGCTCTAGGGATGATATGGGAAGGGAACTTAGGTTCCTATTCCTAGTAATGGGACGTTGGGCAAGTTTCTTCCCCTCCGAGGGCCTCAGGAGGGGGCTGGACAGTCTGTAAGTTCCCTTACAAGTCTGACATCTGGGCATCTCATTTTTAAGTTACTGTATAAGGGATGTGACTCTAACCTGGGGAAGCCCTTGACAATCTCTCTTGAGGTAGGAAAGAGGGAGTCAGATCCTGGCTAGGAAGAGCCTTGCTATACACAGGAGGTGCTTAGTTAGCCAAGACTTGTTGAACTGGATGGATGAATCAATGGTTGGGGGAAGGGGAGACCACACAGCACACATTTAACTCACTTGAGGAATTCCAGCTGCTGAGGCTGGAAGATTTGGATTCAGAAGGATGAGAAAGGAAAATGGGGATAGGGTGGAATCTTGGCTATTAATGGGTATTCATTCTATCCTCAGTCACCCTGCACATCCAATAATCAATCACCATGTCCAGTTCATCTTCCTTTAACAGTTCACACCTTATCACTGGCAATCCATTCCTACTACCCTCGCCCTATAGCAGACCTCCTGGTCTTTTCAAGTTTCCTAACTAATCTCTTTATCTCCATTCTCTCCCTCACATATACGTGCATTCATTCAACAATTTATTGGCTGCCTGTTTTGTCAGGCACCGTGCTTTTTTGCTGGGGATATATATACCAGTATCAAGATAACCTTATAAGGTTATAAGGTTACCTTATAAGATAACCTTATAGGCCCACCCTTATAAGTGCTTACAGCTTATTCAGAGACAAAACATGCAAATATAATACGTTGTAAGAAGTAGAACAGGGAAACTACAGGTCTGGGAGAAAACAGCAGTAAGATCTAAGCTAATCCATTCCCACACTGACTGGCTAGAAAGGGGGTTATTAAATTTACATCTGGTCCAGAGTATCCTCTGCTTAAGACCATTCCGTGGCTCCTGCATTGCCTCTGGCTAGCTCCCAAACCCAGCTGTACCCTAAAGTCATATGCTGACCTTTGTAAGCACTCCAGAGCCTAAGGCCCCAACCTGAGTTGCAGTAATTGAATTTTTAGAAGTTGTGGCCTGGGATGTCCCACCTTTCTGGTACACAGCCAGTTTGGGAACTACACTGCCCCAGGAGGCAAATCTGAACTCTGCAGCCAGGCTCTTAGGACCCTTTTCCAATCTGGTTCCTGATCACCTCCCATCTACATTTTTTTTGCCCCCCTTTCCAGACCCCATGAAACCTGATGCTTCAGTATTTCTGAATTTCTTTGCTGTTTCTTGTCTTCAGGTCTTTGTAGGTACTACTCCCACTACCTGCAGATTCCTTCCACTTCTTCAAATGGCTAATATCTACCAGTTCCTCAAGACTCAGATCAGGTGTCACTCACATCCCAGACTACCAGAACACTGATGGCTCATATAGTCAACAGCTGTTTCCTGAATTACCTCCCCATCTAAACAGTGAGCTGCTCATAAGCAGAATAAAGACCTGACTCATGTTTATGTCCCTGGCACACAACACCTTGTTTCCTAGCGTGACGTGCCCAACTAACAGCAGACACTGCTGTGGAACACAATTTGACTCCTTAGACCATGGTTACATGGTCCAGAGTGTAAGGGCATCAAGATAATGTCCTCCAAAACAGCTGAGGATTCTACTCAGATCCTGCCTGCCCTTGGAAACACACCATGGTGTCTGCTCTCCTGTGACAGTAGCCTTCACAGAACTAGCATTGCTTTGTGATGCTATCGACAGTGTGGCACAAAGGCTCAACACTGGATACGCATGAAGGAGATTCTCGTTGAAGTCTAGGATCGGGCACTGAACCCCTGGAATCTCAGACAAATCATCTCACGTCTCTCATCCTCAGGACTTAAGTCTTTTGTAGCACTCATGTTCTTATGTACCAGGGCATCAGCCCATGGCATCTAATGTAACCCTTTCCAGCCTGTCAGGTAGGGATTAGTTATTCAGATTATCATCCACACCTACTGAATTACATTTCCAGGGGTGGGACCAGCACAGGCGCTCCACATCCTTTGGATGTGGGGATGCAGCAGGAACTGCTGTTTTTCATTATAAGCTGTTCTGTACTATTTTATTCTTTAACCTGCATATATATTGCTTTTTTAAAAAGAAAAAAGACCTCACAAGTGATTCTGTAGTGCAAAACCAAAGTTGATAACCACTCTTTATAGTGGTAAAAGTACAAGACTGAATCAGAGGGCCTGAGTTCAAATCCTGACTGTTATCTGGTAGCTGGGTCTCTTAACCTTCCTGGACCTCAGTTTCCTCAGAATAGCAATCACTGCCTTTTAGGGCCTGTGATGATCTAGGTGCCAACCAAATTGCTTCAAATACATTGAATTTCATCTATACTGCTATTAAGGTAGGAGTATACTCAATTCTTTTTTATTGTTTTTAAAGATTTTCTTTTATTTATTTATGCATACAAGAACTGGGTAGTAGGCCAGAGGGTTGGGGGGGATGGGTGAGAGGACAGATTTACTGTCTATCACAAGCGAAGTAGGTTAAGACCTGGTAGAGTCACATGATGGCAATCTATATAGTGATTATAATGGATGGAGTCAATCTACATTAAGCAAGATGCATAGATTTCAGAAGCATTAAGCAAAGAAAGCAAATTGCAGAACAATTCAATATACCATTTGCTTTAGACATACAGTATTTTCAATGAACTTATATATGTAAATGTCTTACAGTCGAGATGGATATACAACAAATGTGATAATAGTTAAGGGAGGGGGAATGGTAGTCAAATGAGGCTAGCTTTATTTGTTACAATCTGATTTCTTAAAAAGAGAATGAATTCATGTGTTACTGGGAATTAAAATTGCATCACTTTAAAAAAAAAACACTAAAAATGTAGTATATATATCAGGAAAGGGTGATGGTCTGACAGTGCATGAGAATGAGCAAAGGCTGACCTCATTGTAGCAGGCTGAGCTGCCTCTGTGGTCTCTGCAGCTAAGTATGTTGGTTTCGAAAAGGGACATCACACATATTCAGTCAAATTGTGGCTCAGGCTACCTCTCCCCTACTTCCTCAGGGGCTCAGGCACCTGATATATGGTTGAAGTTATAAGCTTCCTTAGGTCCTCCACTTACCAGGTAAACCCCATACTAGTGCCCTGGAATGTTTCCCAATAACCAAGGCATTCAACATCTCCCAGATTTGGAGGTTCCTTTTATCTCTAACAACTGGATCAGGAGTCCAGGCATGAGAAGGTTTTTATATTCTGAGGGTTAGCACTTAGTGGACTCCAAGCAGGTATAAGACCTACAGTGAAGAGCTTGACATCATTAAATCCTATGAGGTAGGTAATATTGTTAACCCCATTTTACAGATGAGGAAACTGAGGCACAGAAAGGTCAAATGACTTGCCCATGTCAAACAACTAGTAGGTAGTAAAAAAAAAATGGGACTAAAACCGACAACTGTCTATCCCCAGAGCTTAGGCTCTGTTCCTAGTGCCTGACCAAATCCTACCAATTTGTTTAGGTCCACCTCATATGTGACCTCCAGGAAGCCTGGAGGTGATCGTCCTCTTCTCAAATTCAAAGTGTCTATACATGACATTCAGCTAACCATAGGAACTCACAAACCTATGGCATCTCCTCAGGAGGGTAGGGATCATGCCTGATTCAGTATTTCTAGCATAGAGCCTGACCAGCAAGAGGGTGTTCAGTATTGTGTGAGGAATACATGAATGAAAACAAAATGAGTGGATGAGGGTAGTTTCATGTAACTGTCTCCCTCCTCTGAGGTCCTGAATATTTTTGCTCAGCTCTGGGGTGCACTCATACTAAGCTCTCTTGGAATCAAATTCGCCTAGACGTCTTCTAAAATGGGTCTCCAATATCTTTATTAGTTTGCAAACACACCCACATGCGCACATGAGCACACATAGACATACATGCATACCCACACACAAGCAAAAATGCAAGGGGGCCCAAGGGACCCATGACTATAGGTGATGGAAGGAAGGTCCAAGATGGGGGAAGAGGAAGATGAACAGATGGCCCTGTTCAGCTCAGTTCAGCTCAGCACCTTCCAGAGACCAGGATGCTCCCTGTAGCTCAGGAAATTTTGCTCCAGATCTAACATCACACTGTTCCTCTTCGTGCTTGATAGCAGTGCCTGAATCCCATGAATATACCAAATGGGGACAGGAGGTTAAGGGAAGGTTGAAAACCAAATATCTGGAGATTGGGAGAGGGACAGCTTAGGGATACAGACAGGGAGGACAGAACTACTGCTACTGCTCATTGGGGTTGGGGTTGGCATCTGGGTACTTGGTGAGGTCGAAGGTCAGGACTTTGCTGATCACACAGTCCCCTTGCTGAAGGAGGAGGGAGAAAAAGAAAAAATTGTAAGGAGAGAATTAAAAGGGGTCTAGCACCCCAGGACTGGGGGCCTCAAACCCTCCTTCCTACATACCTGCCCAAAGCCCAGACTACTGTTCTCTCTGGGTGTGAGAGGATGTGCTCAGTCCCATGTGCCTTCTCTCCCTGCCTACCTCTATACTCTCCTCCTTTTCTCTGCTGTCTGGCTGCCTCTACCTGTCCTTTCTACCTGTCCCCAAATGCAATGGCACTGCCCAGCTGGGCTGGTTATATCTCTAGGGCAGGGCTGCAAAAAGCCCGGATGGTTGTTCAATACCTGTGTTCCTATGTAACCCCGCCCCCATGCCCCTCCACTGCAGCCTTCCCTTCCTGCCCTGGGGAGTCAGGCAGGAAGTGAGACTGGCTCCTAAGTCAGGCCTGCCCTACCTCGGGGTAGACTCCAATGAGGCTCTCAGCCTTGGTGTAGAATTCCTCCTTGAGAGAGATGACAATGGCCTGGAAATTGCAAGTAGACTGCTCCTTGATGTAATTTGCCACCTGTGGGAGAGGCCACCAGGCAGTTAGCAGGGCTGAAGTCTTAACACTCCCTTGTATTTTCCAGTCAGAACCAGAGGTACAGCAGGTGGGCTGGAGGACTAAGGGTGGGGGGAATAAAGGCTGAGACGAGGACACTAACTAGCACAGTGTGGATGACCCTGGGCCCAGCCTCCCGGGCACAGAGAGCAGGCAGCAGGAACGGCTAGGGCACATTCAGGAGTTGTACCCTAAAACCCTGCCCCATCCTGGGGGCCTCCCTCCTGGGCCCCCCTTTCCTTGCACCCACCTTGCCAATGTTGGTGTTATCCAGGGCAGCATCGATCTCATCCAGGACGAAGAAGGGGGCTGGCTTGTAGCTGGGAGGGAACCAGTAAATGAGCTGATACTGATAGAGGCAGGGAGGGACGGCAAGGCGGGGTGAAACAGCCCAAGGACCCGTCACACAGGCCAGTTTCCCCCTCTACTTCTTCAGAGACTAAGAAACCCAGGTCTTAATGTTGCCTGAGCCCCTACAGGTTAATATACCCACTGAGCCCTCCTCTGTGTCCAGCCCTGTGATCCAGGATCCTGTAGAACCAAGAGAAGACATGGTCCTTTCTGGAGTTGGATGGGGAGTTAAAGTTGTCCTAGGTTTTAACCATACCCACCAAACTACCTGGAGGTCCACCTCACCCACTCACACGCCCACCTGTCTCCTTGCCTCTGCACATGCTGCACCCTCTACCTGGCACAACTTCTGGTCTTCTTGGCTAACTTCTATTCATCTTTTGCATCTCCTCCTCCAGTGCTACCCTTGATAGCCTTCCCTGGACACCCACACCTCCCCTAGATTGGTCTGTCTCTCCTCTGTGCATTCACAGCATCCACACTCACCAGGGCCTAACACTTGGCTCCCTATTTATACATGTCTGGTTTCCACCTCGAGCTCCTCAAGGAGAGAGACCATGCCTGACTCATCTGTGTCCCCAGTCCCCCAACAGGGTCTGGTACACAGTACAGCCTCAACAAATGCTCACTGCATGATGCTGCATAATCAAGCAGTAAGTTGTGTGGTTCAAGTACTAGTGGCATTCAGGACAGGGAGGTGAGGGTAGGCCAAATGGTCAAAGTGGGCCTCCTAAAGGAACAGGAGGAGAATGAGATCTGAAGAGATGGGAGGTGACAAACTACATTTGTATGGAAAGGGCTTATTAGTCAGCAACCATGTGAGCAAAAGCCTGGTGGCAGGACTTAATACATGCAGGGACTAGTGAAGACATGCTGAGTGGATGAGCATGGATGGAGAAGACAGATCCAGGAAAGCAAGGTCAAATGTGCTGTAGTAGGTAGGGAAACAGGACCACAATCCAGAGTCCACCAGAACATCTTCACCTCTGCAGATCTCCGCATATCCTTGGATCCCAGAGCTGCCATGGTCTCAATTCAGTCTCTCCAACGGCCCTGGGGGGCACAGCCTTACCTGTGAATGGCAAAGAGTAGGGCCAGAGCTGCCACCGTTTTCTCCCCCCCTGACAAATTGTCCATAGGCCGGAATCGTTTGCCAGGAGCCACGCAGTTGTAGTTGATGCCATCCAAATACGGCTCCTCAGGGTTCTCGGGGCCCAGGAATGCCTAGGGTGGAAGGCAGATGGGTCAGACTCTGGATCTGAATCTAAGTCTAGATCTAGATGGAGATGGAGATAAGGATAGGAACCCTATAAGGAAGGGCAAAGAGGCTGGTTGGGAAGGGGCTCTAGCCTACCTGGGCACTGCTGTTGCGGGACAGGGCCTTGTAGATCTCATCGATGTTGGTGGCCACAGATTCAAAACAAGCATTGAAGCGGTCAAAACGCTCCTTCTTGATCTGTTCGAATGCTTGCTTAGCCTTCTTGGCTCGCTTTCGGGCTGCCTCAAACTCTGTCACAAGGAAAAGACAGGTGGACCCCACAGCACCTAGGCTCTGCCAAGGCTAAAGACCACTCTGTCAAGGATGACCTGCAAGTGATAATTCACAGAACAGGGACATCCCACAGAAAGAGAGAAACGCGGATCCAAGGAAGAGGGTCCCACAACCATCTGTACCCAGTGGGCCAGCCACACAGTACAAAGAAAGCAGCATGGGCTTAGAATCACAAAAAACATGAATTTTACCCTGGGCTCTACCAGTCATCAGCTCTGTGACCTTGAGCAGTGTGTTCACTCTCTTTGAACCTTGGCAGTTTTCCACTCTATAAAACAGGTGTGCTAATAACCCAATTGTTTAGGACTCTTGGGAGTCTTAAGTGAGAAAGCATATAAGGAATTGTGACGTATAACAACAGGTCCTTGGCGTATCTCCAGCCTCAGGTCTTCCTCTTAGGTCCAAGTAAGAGAGAGAAATCTTACCATCTGACGTCTCCTGGAACTTATCTCGGACACTTTCCAGCTTCTCCATGGCCTTCATGTTGGGAGCAGCAATACGTTGGAGCACACTCTGCTGCTCATTCAGTTTCTGTTGCAGTGTGTTCATCTCCTGCTTGATCTCCTCCTCGGCCTGGGCATCCTATAAATCCCAGGCCCAGCAACATCAAAAAGGGCAAGGTCCTTGAGCCCAGGCCCCCACAGCTGCTCCCATGAGAAGGCAGGTTCTTCTTCCCCACCTGGGCTCCGCCCAGCAAGTATTGCTCACAGTGACCATACCCAACATTCCTGAAAAATTATAGTCTGATACCACTTTCTCATCTCCAGCTCTTCCCCCAGGCACTGTCAACTGCTCACTTAGGAGGAGCAGTTTATGGTTTCCTTGTGTGGCTCTCAATCCAGGCTATGAGCCAGCACCTGAGGCTCCCACAAACACCTGTTCGAGACTCTACTTACAGCTCCACAATGAAGAAGACAATTCATGTTTTCTGCTCAGATCACTATATTTGAGCAAATTCCATTTGAGTTTGGCTTTAGGTCTTACGGATATTGCAACACAAGTCTGGACTTGTGCCTTTCTGCCAGTTAGTAAATAAATATTTACTGAATGCCTTCCAAGTGCCAGGCACTGGACCCTCATATCCTGTGAGCCATGGTTCCTAGTTCACAGAGCTCATGGGCTAACAGAGGAATACATGTAAGTAACCAATCAGGACGCTGTATAGTGAATGCCGAAATGGTGAACAGACACTGTTGGGAACACAAAAAGGGCAACTATTTCAGATTCTGGGGCTAGGAAAGGTTTCCAGGAAGGTTTAAGCTTAAACCTACAGAATGAAATGGTAAGGACAGAGAGAAAGAAGTCTTTTAAGCAGACAGGAGCATCACACGCAAAACCTGGGGCGCTGCTCATGGTCAATTCATGCAATTCTTTTTTTTTGGTTAAAGATTTATTTATTTATTTATACAAGCACTGGGTACAGTCAGAAGGGTGGGAGGGTGAGAGAATTCACCAGAGCCAGAGCGAGGAACAGAACAGGCAGACCGATGAAGCACACTGCTGAGGGAGGAGAGGTCTGTCGCGCCATGTGGGACCCTTGCCAGTGGCTGGGGATCCAACCGGCGCTGCAGAGGCTGCGGGCAGCTTCGCAGCCCAGCGCTCAACTACTGTACCACCAGGGGAGGCCCCAATTCATGCAATTCAAAATATAACCAACTTTAATAAACTTTAAAAGCTTTCCACAGCAAAGGCAATTCAATATGGCAATAGTCACAAAGTATGTTTATGTATGCACACATGTATGTTCTGTATGTTCTGTAAACATACAGAAAACACAAGGTTGGAAGTACTCACAGCAACACAAAGATAAAGCACCTTTTAGGCCTTGTAAAATATTTGGATTTTATCCTGCCAGAGGTGAGACACCACTGCATAACTTCAAGCACGGTAAGGACCTGAGTATGTTTACATGTTAGAAGTCTTTCTAATGATCTCTACAGCTATGGGAGTGATCTCCAGGGGCCTCCCCTGGTGGTGCAGGCAGTTGAGCGCAGCGCTGTGAAGCTGTCCGCAGCCTCTGCAGTGCCGGTTCGATCCCCACCAGCCAGGGAGGGTCCCACATGGCACAGCAGACCTCTCCTGCCTCGCCTGCTGCTCCCCTTGGCAGTGTATTTCGTCAGTCTGCCTGTTCTGTTCCCTGCTCTGTCTCTGGTGAATCCTCTCACCCTCCCGCACATCTGGCCTGTACCCTGGTTCTTGTATAAATAAAGAAAAAAAAAAGAAAAAAAGTGATCTCTAGCATATGTTATAGAAGAAATATGAAAGGAACACAATGCTATCTTTTATCTAAAAGATGATGGGGGAAATATGAATATATTTGCATACAAATATATTTTTGTCTTAAAAACACAACAAAAAAAGAATAATGCCAAAGCTATCTGCAATGGTTATGCCTAGAGGAAGGGAGAAGGGGACAGGAAAGGAAGCTAAACTTGCCTTCATGCATTTTGTATACACTTTAGTTTTAGAACTACATGAAACTATTTTTGTTTTCCTCTCTAGATAGTACTTTGCACAAAGAATGTGCTCAGTAACTATGTGAAACACTCTCCAAAAAACGGAACCGTAGGGGCCTCCCTGGTGGCGCAGCGGTTGAGCGCTGGGTTGCAAAGCTGCCCGCGGCCTCTGCGGCACCGGTTCGATCCCCGGCTGCTCCCCGGCCACCAGAGGAGGGTCCCACATGGTGCGCAGACCTCTCCTGCCGCCCGCTGCTCCCCTCAGCAGTGTACTTCGGTCCTTCTGCCTGCTCTGCTCCCCGCTCTGGCTCTGGTGAATTCTCTCACCCTCCCGCGCTTCTGACTGTACCCAGTGCATGTATAAACAAAACAAACAAAGAAGCAAACAAATAAATAAAACATGCCTCTATTAAAAAAAAAAAACAAAAAACAAAAAACAAAAAACGGAACCGTTACATAATTACAAAGCAAAAATTTAAAATGTTTTTAAAAGTTGGGTAAGGCCTCCCAGGTGGTGCAGGTGGTTGAGCGCAGCACTGTGAAGCTGTCTGCAGCCTCTGCAGTGCCAGCTGGATCCCCACCAGCCTCGCAGCAATCCACATGGCGCAGCAGACCTCTCCTGTCGCACCCGCTGCTCCCCTCAGCAGTGTATTTCAGTCAGTCTGCCTGTTCTGTTCCCCGCTCTGTTTCTGGTGAATCCTCTCATCCTCCCGAATATCTGGCCTGTACCCTGGTTCTTGTATGAATAAATAAATATCTAAATAAATAAATAAATAAAAGGTGGGTAAAAAAATTGTTGAGGAATGAGATTTTCACAAGATACCAAAGAATCGCTCTAAAGATTACTTGCTACTTAGAAAGGTAAAAGTATATGTTAAATATTGACAGACATGGCAACTGGCATCATAACTATGGATCAAACTTAGCATCACAAATAGTGTAACATCCTGACATTACCTGCCTCCTGGCATGAGGTAACATAAACTACACAGCAGCACCAGTGAAATGTTCTTGCAAGAAAATTACCTAACCCCAAATCCCTCAAACCTCCAGACTTGATAAAATTTCCAATTTATAGAAAACACAAGGGATGGAAGGACAAGTTAAGCAATAACAAAACGAAACTAAAATCCATAATAAACCCCTAACATATTCATTCTTCAAGATAACTCAGACTCTTCAAAAGACCAGTCATGAAAAAAGGGCACTGCTCCACATTTTTAAAAAACTAGAGATAGAACCACCAAAAGCAAAACATGAATCAGTTTTTAAAAACTATAAAAGACATGTTTGGAATAAATAGGGAAATCTGAATATGGATGGGATATTGGAGATGAAGTTAATAATTTTCTTAGGTGTAATATGGAATTATGGTAGTATGCAACTGTCTTCAAATGGTTCAGCGAAAACAAAATGAAGTGCGTAGGGAGGAGGGAGGGGAGGAGAGAGGGAGGAACTCAAGCAAGATGAGCAAGAAAGTAAACTGGAAAAATAGTCACTAGTGAATCTATAGTGAAAGGCATATGATTGAGTTCACTGTTTCTATTCTAAACAGTTTTCAATAATCAAATTGTTACCTATAATATTGTATTGTGATTTTCAAACTATTATATGCATAATTGGATAAAATAAATGCTATTATGCCAATGTTGCTAGGAATCAAGATTTTTAGCAAGATTAATTAGAACCTCAAACATAAAATCAATTCTGTTAAATTGTAAAAATTATAGTGTCAATCCAGATATGAAGTCATGATACATTTTTTTCCTTCAAAATAAATGCATTTCATAGCTCATTCTGATGAGAAGTTCTAGAAGAACTGAGCAACCCAGCTGTCAAGGGCACTCCAATGTCCAGATGGTAGTCACTAAATCATAGTAGATCCCACTAAAAGTCAGAGCTTCCTGGAGAAATGGCGAATTCCAGGTCTGGGGTGGGAAATGTAGAGAATAAACCTCATCATACCATATGATGAGAATAAACCTCATCATACCATACCATATCAAAAACTACACGTTGTGTCAAAATGATTCAGAAATTAATTTGAATCAGTTCCCACTGGCCAAAGATGGAACAACTTGATAAACAAGAAGGCTAATAACCGCAACAGAGTGTGACACACCAAATGTGTTTAAATTCATATATTCATAACTATGAAAATATTTCAGTGGACAAATCTCAAGAATACTTAGAAATCAACTCAGTATTTTATAAACTGGTTAAAAAAAATGGGAAAAAATAAAGCACATATAACCTGTCTTCCCTAGAAAAACTGCACCTCAAATAATTGATGAGTGGAAATCTTTTTTTTTAATGAATGTTAAACTTTGCCAATGCCTTGTTATTATTATTTATACAAAAGCTAGGGTAGAGACCAGAGGCGGAGGAGGGTGAGAGAATTCACCACACTCAGAGTGGGGAGCAGAACAGGCAGACAGACCGAAACCACTGCTGAGGGGAGCAGCGGGCATGACAGGAGAGGTCTGCCACGCCATGTGGGACTCTCCCTGGCTGTCCAGGAATGGAACCCACGCTGCAGAGGCTATAGACAGCCTCACATCTCTGTGCTCAACTGCCTGCGCCACCGGGGAGGCCCCAAGAGGAAATCTTTATGATGTTCTAGCTAGCAATTAAAAAAAAAAATAGATCAGTTTGCAACTCTTGCCAAATTAATGGATCTTAGGAAATGATCAGCATGGCTACAAACCATACAGAGCTACTACCAGACATTATAAACCTCCTTCCTGGTGGCAGTAATGTCAATGAAGTAGTATTTTTTTATATTTATTCATTTTATGTGTACAAGAATTGGGGTACAGGCCAGATTCACGGGAAGGTGAGAGGATTCACCAGAGACAGAGGGGAACAGAACAGGCAGACTGAAGAAATAATACTGCTGAGGGGAGCAGCGGGCGCGACAGGAGAGGTCTACAGCGCCTTGTAAGACCATCGCCGGCCGGCCAGGATCGAACCAGCACTGCAGAGGCTGCGAACAGCCTCACAATGCTGCGTTCAACCACCTGCGCCACCAGAGGAAGCCCTAATGAAGTAGTCTTGTCCCCAAAGAAACCACCGAGCTAGAATCTACTCAAGCCTCTAGATCTGAGCTGTCCAATGAAGTGGCTA